GCTATCGGTCGCGCCGCTGACGGCCCGCCCTCCTTCCGATGACGGATGCTGAGTGGCGCGGGCGGGCAGTCAGCGGCGGCGGGCCCCCTCGGCCGGGGTGGCAGCTCCGGCAGCCAGAGACGTCACAACGCCACCCAGCAGCTAATCGACAGCCCTGAGCAGAGATGCCCCACCGGCCAACCGGTAGCTCCCGTGGTCAGAGACGCTTCACCGCCACCCGGCAGCTCTAGCAGCCCTCACGGCCGGCGGCGGCGGCGGCCTTTGAAGCGGTCCGTCGCGCTGGCGGCCGGACACGGCCGGCACGACACGCCGCGGTGCCGCCAGTGCCGCCGCCGGTCCGGCCGGCTGGGTGGCGCTCCGTCACCCACCGTGCCCTCCGCGCGGACCGGCTGACCGGCCCGCGCCCCCGCCAAACGAGAGGTGAAGAGCAGCAGGCAATGGCCGCTCCGCCCGGGGCTGCGCTGTAAACGTCTGGCCGGCGCGGCGATTCACACCTCGGACTGCCAATTAGCATAGGCAATGCCGTCCTCCCACTGCAGCGCCGGCTGCAGCCGACGGCCGGCCGGGCCCGTCTGCTGGCCGACCGGTCCGGTCCGGCTGGGGAGGGGTGATGGTGCCGGCTCATGGCGGCCCGACCGGCCCGGCGAGTGGCGCTCCAGCCGCACCGAGCCGGCCGGCCGGCCGGGCTGGTCAGACGGGACGGGGAGGCCACGGTCGCCGCGCAGAGTCCGGCGTGGTATGCCGTCCCACCTCAGCAGGTATACATTCAGCTAGATTCAGATACACCATGAGCACAGGTCTGCCAGCGCGACATGATCACATAGCGATCAAAATTATAGGACTGATATACTTTCCAGTAATTGTAACTAAAAAGTATGTCTCAACAGCGCGTCAAATACCAGGTGTGATAACTAGCCGACAGACATTTCTCGCTATCTCCTTTCGAAATCTGTCAGCCGGCGTCATGGCGCGTTTGAGTGGTCGTCGTTTTCTCCTCGGTTCGGTGTCGTCCGCACCGCGCGACAGGCCAACGACGCGTGTCGCAACGTCGCGCCGGCCGCGACCTGTCATCACCATGAGAATGGTGTCGGGCCGGCGGCGTCATCGGAGGGGCGTCACGCTGCGGGGCGTCACCGGCCGGCGAGGTCACGGGGCGGGCCGGGGGCGGCGCCGGACGGCGAGGTCACGGCGGCGCCGGTCGGGTCAGGGCTTCAACTCGGCAGCCGTGGGTCCCTGCATCCCGGCATCCCAAGAGCCCATGTAAAACAATACCAATGCTCCTGAGAGGCGACCGCTGTGGCGCCGAACACTGTGAAATTGACGACGCATTCTTCGAATGATTCTTCTCTCTTTGTGTGACTGCTCACCCCTGGGGGCCGTAACCAAGAGCCGGCGACAGGCTGCGTCGCAGGAAATGAGCGTCGATCGTCTTCGGCCGAGTGCGGTGACAGCGACCCGGCCGTCAGTCCGGTGGTCGACGACCCCCTTCGGCCGACGCACCGCACGCCCAAATTGAATTACCCCCACCATCGGAGATTCATATCCAATCCTTGGGGCCAATGCAATTTCCATATCTCATGCGAAAACGATAGAGCCAAACGATGTTACTGGTGCGATCAGGCCACGGGCATCGCATATATGTAAATTCCCGTCGACGGCTGCGGTCGCTGCAGCAAATAGACACGTTTCTTTTGTTTGCAAGACTATTCAATTATGCTATCGCATAAATTCGGTTGTATAATTTATGTCGTCTCTGTTGCAATGGTTGTGTGCTTGTTACCGCGACAGGGAGACGAGCGGGTACCATTCGCCGAGCCCGGCAGATAGGTAACGAGCATAGCGCTCCCGATCGGGCGCATCCGTCGGCACCAGTTTATGGCGGGGTCCTCGTGCAGCCACTAACAGCGGCCCCTGCACGGCCGGCGGCGTCACAACTCACCTGGCGATGAGTGACGAGAGGTGCGTGGTGGGCCCGCAGGAGGGGGCCCGTGCGCCGCGCCGGCAGACCACCCTGCAGCCGCCGACCGCCGCCATCGGAAACTAATCGCGGCTCGAACCACCGCCGTCGGCCGCCAGCTAATCAGGATTGGGCGTGACGTCACACCGCATTTCTGAGGACGACCGTCAGCCTATCGAACGGGCTTAACTATGCAGTGAAATCATTACAGTGCGCTAGATTTAAACTCACTTCCGATGGTTAACATTCTCGGGCGGCGCGACAGTTCTAGCGAGTTTATTTGAAACATTCAGGCCATAAACTTTCGAAGCAGCGATGCTGTCTGGTGGGACATGGCAGTTCGTCCCATGACAAAGTGGGCCATCCACATTATGGCCAGATATGGTCGGAAGGAAACTGGTCCCGGACTAAGACGCGCCGCCGCCGGCTCAGCGGGCCGGCGGCGTCCTATGGCCGCCCAGACGTCACCTGATGTCTGACGGACACCTGTCCCGGCCCGGCCCGTCCTCGGCCGCACTTATATCGGCGCCACCGAGCGCTGATGGCCCGTCCGCGCGCTAAATGACATGCAGATCCCCTTTATAGCCGGCCGGCGTCGGAAGCGGCGAGAGCTCTGGCACCGGCGCCGAATCGAAGTGGGGAGCGGCTGGTCGGCCGGGAAACGACGCTGCTGATGGGAGACACCACCCGATAGACATGGTGGCGAGGTCTCTAAACTGCGCATCTTTGCAGCTGCAGTAGAGATACCGGTAAAAGCTGGGCAGCCGAATCTGAGCGCTGTAAGCATCGCGATCAGCGACAATGCCATCCATTTGATCTTCTCCGATCCATTGTATCCTTACGACTCCATATAAAACAGCATCGGGCCAACCATAAACATGCTTCTCAACGAGTGCACCGAACCCACTGAAATATCCACCGAGCCTATCGAGTTGTTCTATCCGATCACGGAGTCTATTCTATCCAGTCTACCAAGAACTGCGGAGTCCCCGGCCTCCACCGAGCTCGGCTTCCCCGAGTAGTCCGCCGTCCACCGGTAGATTCCTCGAGTAGTCCACCGATCACCGGCCGCCTCTTCGGCTAGTCCACCGATCACCGGCGGCTCTCGGAGTAGCCTCCCGTCCACCGGTGGCCTGTATCGGTCCATCAGCAGCGGTCGGACTCTCCGCCGAGCTGGACTGCGGCCGATAGCGCGTGCGGCCGGCCGCTCCGGCGATTAATCAGTCGCGTATCGGTCGAGCATCGGCGGCCGCAGTTCGGTCAGCGGCAGCGGCGCGACCCGGCCGAGCGCCGGTGACAAAAGGTCGGTGGGCCGCGCGCCGCGCCGCGCCCGACCGCCGCCGTCCGGGACCCGGCGCCGGCGATCACGGGCCCGCCGAGCCGTGCCGGGCTCCTGAAACATTCACCACCCAGACCGAGAAATGTCCCGATAAAAATCGGACCCGTTCTCAGTTGCGTGGTAGCGCAGAGCACACCTAATTGGATATGCTTTCAGTTTGTAAAAAGGAACTGTGACATTTGATTAAAACGAAGATTAGAATGAAAATAAATTACTGCACAAGGTAGGACAAAACCGTGACCACCAAAGACCAGGCGGCGGCAGCTCCAAAAATGGGAGTAAACACTTCCCGAGATATCAGCTTGTTAGGAGTCGGTCCAATTAAGGCCTATAATAATGTAGCCGCTGGCTGAGGAGCGGGCACCTGGGTCGTGTATTCAGCCGGCGTCTGGCCTTCAGGCCTGTCAGAGGCGGGCGAACAATGCGCCCGGCGGCCGGCCGGTCGGTGACGCCCGCGCCCTGACAGCGGATCGGCCGCGCTGCAATCAGACGCGCCGTCCGCCCCCGCAACATCAGAGGAGACTGCGACTCAGCACAGGCCGGCACCGTGCGCTGCGGCGCAGCCTACCCGGCCGGGGCGCGGACAAATAGCGCCGACATACATATTGTCATTCCGGCGTGTACGGCGATACGAAGACAGCCTGTTTGTTGGGACTGCTATCTGCGCCTGCCAACTACCTACCAGCGCCGCCGGCCGGCGACCGGTTGTGGCGTTAAACACGATCAGATAGCGGCCGACACCGGTACACGTTTAACACAACACTGCATATCGAACAAATACAGGAATAATCGCCGGGCATCAATCACTGTCGGGCGTCTCAGACTCGGCGCGCTGTGCAGATTGGGGTGGTCTGCTCTCACCGGACCTCACAAGGCCGATCTAACTGATCTGCAGACCTGCTGGAATCTGCCGCTTAAACCTTACCTCTTATACCTGATGCGGGACTAGCAGCTACATTTTTTTTTTTGTTCAAATACCGAAATTTCACGCCGCATTTATACAGATAACAGTGACTTACAGTAACAGTACAACACAGTACAGCACAGTACAGTAGGTACAGTAACTTGTGACAAAACAGTCAGTGAAAATGTTCGTGAATTTATGAGCACCTCTTCCATGCACTCTGATAGTAGGTGCCTAAATATATATTTATTTCAAACATACCTATGTAGGTACGTATCTTAGCTAAGTCGACGGTTAGGTTTGAGAAAGCACAATCCTGGTCCCTGGAGTTCTTAATAATCATTCACTAGGCACCTGTCTTTCCCACGCCTTTCGAAATCCCAAAATTGTTCGAACATGCTGTCACTGGCTCCGTCTCCCGTTTTTCGCCACTCTGTTTCTGTCACCCACAAATGTCCTCAGCGTCCTCAGTTGTTGGTCGCTCCGAGTCCGATGTGCCCGTCATACCCAACCCATCTGTCAAATAGGCAACTCTTCGAAACCACTGTTGTGTCCTACTGTGTTTCCAGATAACTACAACTACGAAATCCAAATTTCGGTGTTCGCCGCTTTTTGCCCTTTCGTTTCCCACTGTCCGGGACTCTTCCCATCCAATTTCTGCCCGCCGTTTCACGCTCGGACGCCGGGTGTGGTGTGCCGCTCGGCCCGCGGCCGGCGTCTGACCGCCCGGTGAACGCGGAGGCCCGCAGAGAGAGATGGCCGCCGCGCGGCGGGAGGCGCACGCCACCGGCCGCACTCACCTGAGGTTCAGAATCCGCCGCCGACCACACTCAGCATGTCTCGGTAGCACGCTGATGAGCAAATCCGCGCGTCTGCCGACAACGCCGCGACGTCACCACTGTCTCCACTGCGTCCGGTCGGCACAACAGGCCACAGCGCCGCTCCGCAACGAGCGCGACCTCTCCCCGTCACGGCCACTCACAGACTGCCGCCGCCGGCGGCGGCCACCTGCCAGCTTCCCGGCCGGCCGACAGATGGCAGCAGCAGCGGCGGCGGCGGCGGCGCGGACCGAGCGAGCGAGCGATCCGGGGAGAGAACAGGGGAAGAGTGGAGGGGAGGGGTGCCGCGGTGTAATGATGACGCTAATCGCTGGCTGCGCGGCGCGGTCTGACGGGGTACAAACAGCCCGGCGCGCGGCGTCCGCTGCTGGAGGAGCCGCCTCTCGCGCGCGGCCAGCCGGCGCACCTGACCGGAGACGGTCCCCGGAGCTCACAGCTCGCGCGGCCGCCACAGGAAGACAAAGGGTGCCCGCGGCCGCTCCATTGGTGTTTGCCCGAGCCGTCATAAACGGACGCGGCCGGCGGCCACCCTTTGGCGCCGTCCGTTTATAGAGTGTTTGTCGGCGGCCGGGTTTATGGCAGGAATTGGCCCATGTCGACTGGCCGGGCCAGGGACGGCCTCGACGCTTCATTAGCAGATGCCGGCTCAGGTGTGAAAACTCGCGCCGCTCCCATCACCGGTGTCATCGACACTCCACAGTCGTACTCGTACCCAGAGTGGACCAGGAAGACAATAGGAGAGACATATCCATCAGCATTACCGACAGGATTCGAAGCGGCGCCGAATTCCAGGCATGATGAGACAAGTGCTTATGTAATTGTGCAGGCTGCAGCCTCATATCTGGGTATGTGTATGCATCTTCCGAGTGACCCGGCCGACCAGTCGGGCCGGCCGGCCGGCGCCGGCGAGCGTGCACCGCTCTGCACATCGTGCACAGGCCGTGCACGCTCGGGTAGCTGGGGCGTGGGCGCGCCGGCCGGCCGACCACCCAGGCCAGCCGCCCGTCTGCCACCCAGGTATATTAATCGCATTACGGGGGCGCACGGCGAGCGCGTCTGATTCGGACCGGCAGCGAGCCGAGCTGATTGACAGCTGCCGCCCCGCCACGCACAGCCACACGGACCGACCGACGGACGGACGGACGGACGGACGGACGGACGTGCCGCCCCACCCTACAGCCTTACCCAGCCGCCTGACCGGCCCGGTGACCCGGGGTGGGCCGACAGACAGACAGACAGACAGACAGACAGACAGACAGACCGGCTTGTCACTCATCCGCTAAGTAGCAGGCAGGTCTAGGACTAAGCTTAGGATCACCTAAGCCTGTTTCCCGAAACAAACGTCAGTATAAGTCCTGCCTACTTCAGTCATTCCTGCTTCCGTTTCACGAGCTTATTTCCTCTCCTTTCCAAGCAAGTTTTGTCTCTCATTTCGAGCCTGTCACTATCCTATCCCAGCTTGGTTTCCTATTTTTCCGAGAAAGGTCTCCTCCCTGTTGCACATCAGCTAAGCTTGCCTTCCTCTGTCTTACCCGAACCCAAGGGCTGTTCCTTCCAGCTCGGGCCCTGCTGCTCCCCTGTTTCTCCAGTCTCGTTCTCCTCTGTTTCTCCAGACCCTCTGTCTCGGTTTGTCTCCTGCTGCGCGGCGGCCGGGCCGCGGCTGATTGCCGAACCGGATGCCAACCAGAGGCGCGCCGCTGTCTTTGATCCAGCTCTCACGCTGGGGCCGGTTTGCGCCGCCGCGGAATCAATCGGCGGCGCCTGCTCCCCTCCTCGGGAGCGGGCGGACGGCGAGCGCCACACCACGGGAGCTCCTTTCAGATCCGGCCAATTGCATAACTCGACACAAAATGCTGAAAGGATACAAATCACCACCGCGACGAGAAGGGTCCTCAAACGTCTGTCGATGTAAATATTCAAAATTAGCCGTGAACTAGATGGAAGAGGATAATGACGGCATTAACTTAGACATCAGAGGTTCTTTGTTGACAACAAATGCAGACGAAGCCTAAAGCATGTGTTTCTGAATAGATGAAATATTTATTTGTGTCTCTAATTTTACATTGCTATGCGATGACAGAGTAGTCTTAGGGGATTAGGGGATAGAAATGAAAGCATTAGAGAATGGTTCATGAGACATTCCTATCAATGCAGGCATATTTGATACTTCCTTCACGAGGAAAGAGAAATGGGATTTGAAATTAGCTTGCATTGGATGTCTGGCATTGAACTAATGCTGCCTATTTTCTGCTCAAATTGCAGTACTTCACAGCGGCATGCAGCACGCCATTTTTGCATCTTAGTCATTAGTCGCAAAGTGCAATATGTTGTCTGAGTGACCAGCACAATGTTAGCTGCCATGGGACTTGAAAAAATGAAATGGGAGAGAGAGAGAGAGAGAGAGAGAGAGAGAGAGAGAGAGAGAGAGAGAGAGAGAGAGAGAGAGAGAGAGAGAGAGAGAGAGAGAGAGAGAGAGAGAGAGAGAGAGAGAGAGAGAGAGAGAGAGAGAGAGAGCTCAGTGCCGATGGCCGACCGCCACTCAGGGCGTTGCTGGAGTGGCCAGCATTGTGAGATCATTGTGAGAAGAGGCGGCTGCGGCAGCGGCTGGCTATCGGCCGCTCCAATCGGGACAGCACAAACGCCTCTTGTTTAGCCGGCCGCACCGTACCCATCAGATTGGACTGCTCGCTCGCCGTGTGTATGTGTGTGTGTCTCGGTGTCTGTCGGTCCGACAGGCCGGGCTGTATCAGCTCTGGCGCCCGTCTCCGATAATAGACCGACTGCCTCATTATAGAGCTGTCATATTCTCAGTCCGTTAAACCCGGCCGGTTTCTCAACGTTCCACTTCGGCAATTCACACAGAAACACAGCTCGGCTTTAGACATCGGTTTAGAGAAATTTAAAGGCGTGGTTTGCCAAAAGGATTGGCCAAAAGCATTCAAACAGCAACCACCTCACTTACATACAAGCTACAACGGCTTAAATAGGCGTTGGGTTCCTTCATTTTCGATTAATTCAATGAGAAAAAAAGGTCTGAGAAAACTTCATTTCAGTCGCTTCAAGTGTTTTAATCAATCTGAACTCAATTTAAAACAATTTACCTGTTTTCTTTCCATCACTTTGGCCAGCGTACCACGGCTCCTCGGTAATAACAAGACAGAAGTGCAACTGGCGGGTGAGGTAGTGGAAGCAATTCAATTCTTTTAGTTCTGGAAGAAATCAATTATTCATCTACCGTCTCATATGCAAGCCTGCGTTCCTTGGGAATAAAATAAAGTATTGGCAAGTTTTACAATTTAATTAATAGATGACCAAAAAATAAACCTTTGCTAAACGTATATTTCAACAGCAGCTATATACTCTGTGGTAAAAACATATCACTCCTATCATATCACTTCCAGAGAAACAGGGATTTCGTCATGATTTTCCGTGCAAGGGGGTTTTGAAGGGGTTTCGAAGACCGCAGAAAAAAAAACGAATTTTCATAAAAAGACGCACTTGAGTGTCATAATAAACATGAGAAGCATCAAAATGCGTTCACTTCATCCCAAAGTCAATGCAGCGAGAACAGCATCCATGAAAGCGAGCACGAAAATATTTCCTGACAATTTATTTCATTTCTGGGGCGTCTACACATAAGAGTATTCCAGCATGTGAGGTTTTTACGTTTTTTTTAAACCTACAATTGAAGCGGACAGACCGAAAAAGTGTTTGGCTAAGCGGTACAATATTGGGATTAAGCGAGCCAATTTCGCGGAGCCATTGCAGAGCACGTGCAGTGTTTTTTACGCTCAAAGGAACGCAATCATGCAACCCAATTCGATGTGAGTGGTATGGATTGGATCCGGAATGTTACACATGTGCAGCTCGCAAGCTGTGCCTACCTCCGTTTGGATTACACCTAGAACAGCGCACGCCAAACAAATGTAACGCGTCCAGTGTTCCACACAGAGCAAACATGCTCAGGGATAATTGGTGTGTGTGTGTCCATATTGGGGTTCCCTGCACATCGTGGCCGGTAGGTGCACACTTGCGGCATGTTGTTCAAATATCACCTGCAACACACCGCCTTGAAGTTCCCCGTACCAACAGCGGCCTCCTGTAATTTCAGTGCAACGCGACGCGACATGTCCGAAAGTAGATTGGCCGAAACAGAGCCTTATCAACAAATTAACGATGACAAAGAGTATGTTCTAGACGGTCAGTATGTACAACAAAACTGAGTACGAGTAGAGAACAGTCAGCACAGATCCGCCGATCGATAACAGTGGTAGCGGATCAGTGAGGTCAGCATCCGACAAACGGTCAGACAAACGGTGGGCAAACGGTCAGTTCACGAATGACTGACAAATAGACGCCAGTCGCAGATGACTTGACCGATGATCTTTGAGCGGTCAATACAAGACGACTGATAGGTGAAAGGCTAACAAACACTTGTGCAGTGACTGTCAACATGACCAACCGTCGTTAGGTATATACGAATTATCAATACGCACGTAGTAAAAAAGGAGCGACCTATCAGTCAACTTCAAACAATAAAAGACGTATGCTCAGCGGAAGGAAAAGACAAATGATCAGCCACTGTCAAAACAATAGAACTAATCAGTCACCTGTGAGTAAGACACGACTGATCAGTAAACTGACGGTAAAATATCATTGATCAGTGATCAGCAAATTATCAGTAAGAGATCACTGATCAGTGATCGGTGAGTAAGCGACCCCCGATCGCTCCGTTCACCGGACCAGTAACCACGAAGACGTGAGAGACAGATTACTGGGCCGTCCCGCTGTCCGGCGCAGCGAGAAATGTCGGACAAAAATCGCCACCACCGCCGTCCGGCCGCTTTTTGATTGGCAAGCACCAGAGTATCCACTTAGCGACCCCTGTTTCCACTGGAGGCCGATCGCTATCTAGATTGTGGAGAAACATTCACATAATTCAACATCGCGGAGTCGCGCGGCGGGTTAACGAGCGGGTGTCCGACGCATGCAGGGAACTGCACCGGACCAGACGTGTTTGTAGATACCGGGCAGATTTGTACAGTGGGCTGACCTCATACACCGATAATGTTATGTCAAACCGACAGCGGGCTGGCGTGCCAGAGTCAAAGTTAATATTGGTGCACGCGTGTGACAGAAACGGAGTGGATTTGA